ATTGCTCACTGGAGAGTCTCTACCTGTGCGCAAAAGTCCTACGATGCAGTTCGATGACGACACAGGACCGGGTGATCGTCTCAATGTTTGCTACAGCTCAACCATCGTTACCAAGGGTCGTGGTAGAGGTGTTGTATTTGCTACTGGTGTTTATACCGAGATAGGCGCCATTGCAGCTGCTCTGAAAGACACTGGACGGAAGAGGCGGGAAGTCAAACATGATGAGAACGGTAAAGCATCGTTTCTATCCCACCTCGCCAAGTGGTTGCTCACAACCTACGATGTTATTGGTGAGTTTCTGGGCGTCAACGTTGGCACTCCCCTGCAGAGGAAGCTGTCGCAGCTATTTCTCTATGTCTTCGGCTTCGCAATCGTCTGCGCCATCATTGTACTCGCAGCCAACAAATTCGACCCACGCAAGGATGTTATCATTTACGCTGTTGCTACAGCTGTGGGAACACTACCTGTCTCTCTGATCTTGGTCTTGACTATTACAATGGCAGCAGGAACGAAGCAGATGGTGAGCCGTAAGGTTGTTGTGAGGAACATGCAGAGCCTAGAAGCACTCGGAGGAGTCACTAGTAAGTTTTGTGTGTTTTTATGACATTGGAGACTATACGAACTAACAAACGGATAGACATCTGCTCTGACAAGACAGGTACTCTGACCCAAGGCAAGATGGTGGTCAGAATGGCGTGGCTTCCAGGACACGGCACTTACTCAGTGGAATCGACGAACGAACCATACAATCCCCAGGTTGGCGACATCGACTTTACTCCAGTACAGCCTACCGACCTACCAGCGCAAGGCGAGGAAGAAAAGTCGCACACAATCAACGCTCATGATGAACCTGCTGCCAACGAAGCACTGAAGCATTACCTCGACATCGCTTCCCTCGCCAATCTCGCAGTCGTCGAGAAAGGACACAAGGAAGATGGTCCGGAAGAATGGCTTGTACAAGGTGATCCTACGGAAATTGCCATTCAAGTCTTTGTCACTCGCTTCAACTGGAACCGCATGTCTTTGTCTTCCGGGCAGAATCCACGATGGAAGCAACTCGCTGAATTCCCTTTCGACTCAGAGGTTAAGAAGATGTCGGTGGTGTTCCAAGATACTGTTTCAAAAGAGACGCACATCTTCACCAAGGGTGCAGTCGAGCGGGTACTCAGCAGCTGCGTGTCCATGGAGAAATCGGGCAGAATTGAACCTCTCGACGAACCGGCAAAGGAAACCATCCTGGCCAACATGGAGGCATTTGCACGCCTTGGTCTTAGAGTCCTCGCCCTCGCTAGTCGATCCCCTGTCACTGGTCTCCCCGAAGATCTCTCATCCGCCATCGACAGATCCGAGTTCGAGAAAGACCTGGTATTCCGCGGACTCATCGGTATCTATGACCCTCCACGCCCCGAGACACGCGGCAGTGTGCAGATGTGCCAAAAGGCTGGTATCAGCGTGCACATGCTGACCGGCGACCATCCCGAAACCGCACGAGCCATCGCCGCTGAAGTCGCTATCATCCCGTCCCCAGAACGAATGCGGATGGTCAGGAGGGATGTTGCCGACACGATGGTTATGGCAGCTCATGATTTCGATCACCTCTCAGACGCGGACCTCGACGCGATGCCAGAGCTACCGCTTGTTGTAGCACGCTGCTCTCCCACGACCAAAGTTCGCATGATCGAGGCTTTGCATCGCCGTGGACGCTATGTTGCTATGACTGGTGATGGAGTCAACGACAGTCCTAGCTTGAAGCATGCTGACGTCGGTATTGCGATGGGTCTCAATGGATCAGATGTCGCAAAAGAGTCTTCTGATATCATCTTGACCGACGATAACTTTGCTTCTATCCTCAATGCCATTGAAGAGGGCCGTCGGATTTTCGATAACATCCAGAAGTTCATCCTTCATGTCCTTGCTGCCAACGTCGCTTTCGTCACCTGTCTTCTGGTAGGATTGTCCTTCAAAGATGACAGCGGTGTCTCTATCTTTGTCTTGACACCTGTTGAGATTATTTGGATGTTGCTTGTTGCTGGAGCATTTACCGAGACTGGTCTTGGGTTTGAGCAGGCGAGTCCTGATATCCTTCGTCGACCGCCTCACAGTGTAAGTCAGGACTTTACCTTAATCTCATGTGCATATCACTAACGCATCTAATAGCTCAAGTACGGCGTCTTCACTCCAGAGTTCCTAGTTGACCTCGTGGTCTATGGCATTCTCATGCTCATCAGCATCCTTGGTTCTTCAGTCATCGTTCTCTACGGCTTCAACGACCAAGGCTTGGGACATGACTGCAACAGCAAATACTCTGCCTCCTGCGACACAGTCTTTACCGCCAGGTCAACAGCTTTCACCACCATGACTTGGGACTTTCTCCTCTTTGCTTGGCAGCTCGTCGACTTCCGTCGTTCGTTCTTTGCCGAGATCTTCGAAAAGGGCGGGAGTTTCAAGGCCTGGACTAAGCGTCTCTGGAAGAATCCTTTTCTCTTTTGGTCTGTCACTTTGAGTACTGTCCTCATTCCACCAACACTCTACATCCCTGTCATCAACCATGTTGTCTTTATGCATAACCCCATCACTTGGGAATGGGCGGTGATCTTCATTGCCGTCGGCATTTTCTTTGCTGGAGCGGAGGGTTATAAATGGGCTAAACGGGTTTATTTCCGACGTACGGTGGCGAAAGAGTTTCGTAAGGATATCACAGATGTTGAGCTTTATGCTTTTGGTCGATATATGGATGGTTCAGAAGACGGCAGTGAGTCGAACTGCGATGTTGGCAAGAAGTGTTAGGGATGCATACATAGAAACATTTATAGAAAAGCGAGGTCGTTCATTCTTTGACAATATACACTCCGCCCAGGAAAGAAGTGCCTTCGAGATATGCTTTGAGACCCGTCATCTCCTCCTCGAGCTCATCTTGCGAGCATCCTTGCTCAGCTGCCTCTAAATCAGCTATAATCACATCGTGACCATCGCGGACCAGGAAATTGAACTTGTTAGTATCACCCATCTTGATACCCAGTTCGTGTAGCTTCTCCAGAGCCTTTTCGCATCCCCCAATGTCCCTTGACTCCGCTGGTCTTGCGCCTTCAACGAACTCCGTAGCAAATCCGATAACACGTCCATCTTTGCCTTCTGTAACATGACCAAGAAATTTGGGCAAGACCTCGATGTTCCGCAGCCATTCATAAGCTGTAGTTTCAGCCTCGGCATAATGAACCTCCCATGGCCAAACAGCAAATTTGACCAGCACAGGTTTACCAGCGTTGACATCAGGGTGCGTCGAAACGTGAACTCCCTGTCTCAATCGCTGTTGTCGGGTAAAATCGAGCTCGTTAAACCTCAGTGGGTGCCAACAGTTCTGTACCTCAGGAAATTCCACGGTCTCGATCTTGACAAATGAAGGTTCGCCTGTATCAGGGTCTCGAGCAACATGGCCATTATTCCAGTCTCCGGGAGGGAATTGGGGGAAGAGAGTCCCAAGGAGGACAGGCTCGAAGGTACGGTCTTTATGATCGCAGAGAAATGTGCCCGGCGCCGTGATAACGTATTTTATGAGGCTTCCATCGATGAGAAAACGATAAAAGCTTCGCCTAATCTCGTCTCTGTCGACGGAACATTCAAGCAACCTCACGTTGGGATTTTTCTGTAAGTTCGTCATTTTTGCAGTCAGTGTCAAGGTTGGCGGTGAGAGAGTGATTGAGGTTGAGCAGACGTTGGTCTGAGCAACACAGCATGAATGATGGTGCATCACTTGGGCCAATCAACTGGGGCGTCAATTGCTGTTGGTCTTTGCATGGTCAGTACGGACAGGACTCGATCCCATGGCCTAAAGATAGAAGGACTCATGTTTCACGAAGGCAGTTTCTATCTCATAATCATAACTCATGATTGACGATCACATGCTGGGAAGACAGTGCAAAAAGGGTCTGGTGATAAGGGCCTCACAACGAATTTATAACTCACTTTCGAGTTGCAATGTGATTTCACGCGTCTGCATATCTAGTGTATTTCAAATAGCTTGAAATTGATAGCTTGAGATAGGGAGGGAGGCATGAGATATGATAGCTATCTTTAGACTTTCGATAGTTCCCTTTATCTCGTGTCGAACTCTCTTGAAGCAAGTGAATTTATCCCTTTTGGCAGGTGTTTAAATCAAAGCCTCCCTCAGCTGACGACGATAGCATGCGGAGGCACGTAGAGGCACGTAGCTCTAGCTGATCAGGGCATAGACTGGTCTAGACCCTCCCCCGTGGCTATGCCTGGCATTGCTCCGCTTAAGCCGAGATGACGGCCTGAATCTCAAGGCACCAACCCGTGAACCTCAATTCTTTGACATTCCCCAGCCTGGGCTTCGGAATTAACAAAAATCAACCAAACATCTTACAAACCAGGTGCCAGGATCCCAGGATCAACAAAATTATATCCTTTTCTACCAACAACGAGACCCTGCCCACGACGTGCTATTGATCTTTTCTCAATCATCTACTTTTCTCGCTAATCGCCCCTTGTTTTGCTTCTGTTATCTTAATAAGCAAACGAGGCAACGCTACAGTTTGAGGCCTCAATCTCTCTCATCTCACTTACTTATCTTATCCGATGTCAACTTCGCCCCCCGACAGCGAAAGTATCTCATCAACCACCGTCCAAGTAGCCAAGAAAGCCTGTCACAGTTGTCGCCGTGCGAGACTTCGCTGCGACAGGTCTATTCCGCACTGCTCGAAATGCGCTTCCAGGGGGGTTGAATGCCTGGGCTATGGCCGCCTATTTCTATGGACTGGCTCAGTAGCCACGCGCGGTAAATTGGCCGGTCAGAGTTCTAGTGCCTCCGTATGTCGGTTACCCAAGCAAGGTGAATCGGACATGACTATTGATGTGCAATCCGATGTTCAATCTTCCGATATGCAAATGGGATCCTTCGATACTCAAGGCTTTGAGCCAGGTGCATGGGGTTTAGTGTCGCTTCAGGAAAATCAACTCTTTGCTCCGAACAAAACTAAGCCATGGTCCCCTCCTTCGCCCCCTTCACCAACATCATCAAACTCTCCGTGGACATTGGTCGATCCGTTATTTCAGGATATGACGCATTCCCAGAGATGGTACTTGAATTATTGTATGACTTCTCAAGACGTCGGTCTTTCATGATGCTAACCCTCAACTCAGATTCAACTCGAGTTAGCCTGGATCTCGTTGGTGATGACCAAACCAACGGTAACAGAAATCCATATCTAAATCTTTTGCAGCTCACAAATGAGCATTCATTTTTACAACAAATTATCATTGCAGTATCTGCATCTCATATGTGCAATTTATCAAGATCATGGCTAGGCCCCAACTCATATGAAAGAGAAGAGGCACCAAAGAAATTGCTCATGGATGCTCTCGTTGCCAAACAAAAAGGACTGCAAATGATGCCCGATGCTTTACGGAATATTGAAACCATTGGAGCCGATGTAATTCTCGCTACTGTTTTGTTTCTCATCAACTCAGAGCTCATCGAGTCTGGTTGGCAAGGTTGGAGGCCTCATCTCGAGGGCGCGAAGAAGCTTTTGAATATGATAGAACCATATACTGGCTCTGACACCACTCTGAGAGACTATATTGTTGCGGACTGTTATGTGTAAGTGGAGATACGTTAAGTCCCGACTGACTGACTCGATGCTAACTGACTCACGTAGCTATTGCACATTGAGCTTGTCTTTCAACCCATCACAACCAGGCACCCAGGCAGCATCATTTGCACCAAATCAAGTCAAAGAAACACTATCGCGAACCAACAACTCTTTCTTCTGCTGCCCACCTGAAGTTCTCGACATCCTCCGCGAGACAGCACAACTTTTACATGCCGAAGCTCAAGGGAACGTCTCCAGTAATGAAGCGCTTATCGAATTCACCAACCTACTAGACCGCGTACAACGTCTCGACGTCCTCAAATGGGCAAAGGACAGAATGCCAGATGCCAGCAAAGCCGCCCTATGGAGCAGTGCCCGAACTGGCTCCGCGCACAGACTGGCAACATGTCTCTACATAATCCAGGCAGCTCCCGCACTACGAGCCAGGATGCCAGACCAAGTTCCCAAAACACTCATCCAGGATCTTTACGAGACGCTCCTACCACAGCCTGACGAAGACCCAAACTTCAAAGCCACGGGATGGCCCACCTTTATTTATGGAACAACGGCAACGACTCCGGAGAGCCGGGCGTGGGTTATGGATCGATTGAAGGCGGTAGCGCAAATCAACCCATGGGGATTTCTATACTCTGCGATTGATACGTTGCAGATTTTGTGGAAGCATGAGAATGGCGATGACGGATGTATGAACTGGTTGCAGAAACTCAAGGATTTGAACGTGGACTTTTTGATGGTTTAGGACTGGCGCTGAGATGGGATCATGGGAAAACAGGACATTTTTGATACCACAGCAATGATGTTTAGCAACTATTTATGAGAGCGACGTAGAAATGCTTGACATGAATTTTTCACAACGTACTTCGTTTCATGAGCGAAAAATTTGACAGAAACCTTGAATCATGTTGCTGGCTTGGTGAGCTGTTGGGCTCCTGCAATCCTTGCCCTTGACCTGGCTTCTAGAAGGCATGGGCCATGCGCTTTTTTTCTTCCATGACCGAGAAAAGGGGAAGCATGTGGTTGCATCGCGATCGCGACAATGAGCCGAGCTGGCGACCTTGATACGTCGGAGTCAAGGTTCAGTATAGTTGACCTAATGGTAACTCCCATTTGATCGCGACCGTTGAGCGCGGTACAGTACTCCGTAGCTTCAACCGGAAGTCGGCTGGTGACTAATCAGTCAACCTAACCCATTTGTCACTGGCTGCTGGAGTGGACATTTTCGCGAACAGACAAGTACAGACAGGTACAGCAACGTCAGCTTCAATTCATCTGAAGCATTATCGCGTGTGTCGCATCGCTTCAATTATACTCAGAATACTACTCTTCAAACTGACAATGATCGCCGAACCTCTTCGGGGAAGACCGTTGACAAAAAAGACGGCAACTTACCCCAGGGATTATTCGTCCAATACCAGCGCAACACCCGCACGCGACCTTATCTCTCCATCACGGAAGTGGTGTGCCGTCTTCCACACCATGACATCAACAGCTTAAGCCTTTTCAATTCAACCCAGCCAAACGTACCACAAATTGTCAGACGCACTGCCCTTTGTGGAATCGCCCCGGTCTCCCCATTGCGGCCCGACATGGGAATGAACCTTCTGGTGGGGGACTGCTCCGAAAGATATGGATCCTTGGGCATAATATAAAAAATTTCCTCCCCTCCCATTCTCTTTGCGATCGCTGCTCTGCTTCTAACCTGCTAGGAATCACTATCGCATTACAGACAATGTCTTGCTGACTCTCGATCGATATCCTGCATACCCATACCTATCCTCCTTAACGCGTGTGAATGCGGCTCCGAGGAGCCGTTCGCCCCAAGACGACTTGACAAGACCCCACTACCAAGTACCACTGCAAATCGACGCGGATGGCCGTTCCGTCTGCTCGCGATCTCGATGAAGTCCTCCCGGGCACACGACGTCTCTTCGCCGACGAGCACGCCAGCGTCGCTTCCGGCGATGCCAGTATCGAAAAGCATGGCGATGTCATCCTCGTTCCCCCTCCGACAAAGTCTCCCAATGATCCATTGAACTGGAGTCTTGCGCGCAAGACCTGGCATTCGTTTCTCGTGTGTTACATTGTCGCTTTGACCGCCGCCACCTCCAATGTCGCTGGTGCTGCGAGCACAGGTGTCAATGAGCAATACGGGATCAGTTACGATGTTTTCAATACGGGCGCTGGTGTGCTCTTTGTCGCGATCGGATACTGGACGCTTCTCAGCTCGCCTGCGACGCATCTTTACGGACGACGAATTCTATACTTGGTAGGAACGGTATGGGGTCTTATTGGCAACATTTGGTTCGGCCATTTGAAGACAACCAGCGACACGATTTGGTCCCAGCTCTTTGTAGGTGCTTCCGAGTCTGTCGCCGAGGCCGTTGTCCAATTGTCTCTGCTGGACATTTGGTTCGAGCACCAGAATGGCACTTCCCTGGGTATGTATACCCTTGCCACTACGGTCGGAACCTATGTTGGTCCTTTGATCGGAGGCCATTTGGCAGAGAATGTCGGGTGGCGCTGGATTGGCCATATGGGCGCAATTGCTTCTGGCTTCACCCTCGTCCTCTTTTACTTCGGTCTTGAGGAGACGGCCTTTGAGCGCAGTCGCTACCTTAATCTCCACCAGACTGAGGAGCGCGACGCCAGCCGCGGCAATGTTGAGGGTATTCCCGCGGCTACTGGTGACCATGTCGTTACCAAGGATGCCGAGGAGAAGAACGTATCGCCTCCAGTTGACGAAGAAGCTGCGATTTCTCAAACCGCATCTGCAGTGCGACGAGAGGAGGTCGAGCGCAACAGACTCGAGGCCTCGTTCGCGCGCAAGAAGTCCTATTGGCAGCGCATTGCTCTTATCACTCCAGCGTCCAACCTGCGCGGTTTGGGATTGACGCAGTATGTCCACCGCCTGTGGCACACGATGCGCATCTTTTCCTTTCCCGCCGTTTGGTTCGCCGGTCTTCAGTGGGGAATGCAGAACATCGCATTGTCCTTCTACCTCACCGTCGAGGAGGATTACTGGGTGAATGAGCCGTACAACTACAGCGACTCTGCTGTCGCCAACATGAACATTCCGTGTCTGATTGGAAGTGTCATCGGCTGTTTCTACGGCGGATACTGCAGCGACAAGTTCATCCTCTGGAAGGCTAAACGCAACAACGGCATTATGGAGGCCGAGTTCCGTCTCTACCTCATGGCCCTCTGCGTGATCATCTTCCCATTGGGTATGTGGCTATTCGGTATCGGCTCTGCGCATGGTTGGGACTGGCCTGTTCCCTACGTCGCGCTGGGCTTTATCGGCTTCGGCTACGGTTGCGCCGGTGATCTGAGCATCACGTACTTGGCCGACAGCTATCCCGACATGGTTCTCGAGGGCATGGTCGGTGTCGCCGTCATCAACAACACCCTCGCCACCATCTTCACATTCGTGTGCAGCTACTGGATTGACACGGGTCTACAGAACACCTTCATCGAGCTTGGTATTCTTAGCTTCGTCATTATCATGTCGTCGCTGCCCATGGCTATCTGGGGCAAGGTGTCACGTCGGTGGACCCTGGAGCGGTATGCCAACTTCTTGCGCATTCGCGATGGTATGGACGGGTGAAAGGAAGATAGGTATCGTTCCTTTTCCTTGGGCAGACCGAGTGGTCCAAATCGACAGATTGTATTTATCGTCAGAGCCAGGGCTTGCTAATAGCTCAAGCTTACTCTGGCTGTAACAGATTTGAGTCTCGGGTGCTTCGCTGAAGCGAAGCATCTTATTTATGTTCTCCAGATATTGTTTTATATATGCTTAATAAGTTCCGAACCCGGTTAATGGATTCTTTGGTCTATACATCGGTGTCATGTTACCCAACAACTCTGCGATACCAATCTGCCTGTTGGCCGCAGGCTCCATGCTAACCACTGTTTGTGAATCCCCGCCGTAGAAGCAATATCTCGTCAAGCACCCCCTAACACTGAGTCAACCTGATCCTATTGTCCCTATCGTCCGGAAGCCTTACCCTTTCAGTATATCAGCTCCTCCGATGATCCGATGAGACCCTCAATCCAGCTGAATTCTCAATCCGGAACTCGTGGACCAAGACTTCAAATAGTCTCCCCCTTATTTTCCACTTGTATTCCCGAAACTATCACGAGGCCCGACAAACACTGAATACGACCGTTTGACCTTGCCTTTAATGGATCTCAGCTTCTGATTAGTGCGATCTAGATCGCCTTGTTAACAGCTCATGCCCCTTTGACGGTTGGGTCTGTGGCGTTTAGGATATCTGACTAGGAGCTGCCAACGGTGCGCTAGCTGTTAAAAACGTGGGAATTCGATGAATGATGGCGATAACCTCGTGGTGCTAGGCGTTCTTTTCATTTAAACCGTTGGGACTTCTTATCGGTGTGAAAAGCGTTTTCAGGGGAAGGGTATGTTCGGAGCAGAGGTGGGATGCAGTTACGCTGGAGAAGTTGTGTATAAAGAGCACACAAAGATCCCATTTCATCATCATTCTCAGCACATTCTTCACTCAACTCTGCTCCAAAACACTCAATAAAGCTCCTTACTTCTCTCTTACCAAAAACACTATATTATCTTCACCATGAAGTTCACTCTTATCGCCGCTCTTGTTGCCCCTGTCCTGGCCATCAACATCCCCAAGGAACTTCAGGAGCGCTCCGGCTGCGGCGACAACTGTGCCCGAGCCGTTGTCCCTGGCTTCCGTGGCCCTGCTGTCGTTGCCTCATACAAGGCTGAGTGTGAAGCTTATCTCCAGGTCACTACTACTCCTGCTGCAAGGTGAGCCGAGGATCCTTAAACCTTGTTGTGATCTCTTACTGATGATATCAAGCACGGTTTATGTTACCAAGTCTATTCCTACCTATGCTAGTGCTTGCTCTGGAGAGGCTCGCTATCTTACGGCTTGCTCTTGTGCTAGTGCCTCTGTTGTTACCGTTGCGGCACCTACCCCCACCGTTACCCAGGTTGTCTATGTTTAAGACTATTCCCAGTATACCGGGTCACTTGTATCCCCAATATGGGGGGCGTTGAGTCCAACTTGATTCTTGTATGACCTGGATATAAGACATGATGGAGCTCGACAATTGGGTACATGGGGACGAGATAGTTTATCAAGTTCTTGAATACAACAAGGTTTCGCAAGTCGCTACTGGATACTGCAGCTTGATGTCCGGAAGAATAGCCGTGACTCTCACTGTTGGACCATTGGAGCCGCAAACCTCGATGGTCTAGTGTTTGTGAAGTTCCACATAGTCTGGCCGCTATCTAAACTATCTGGGTACCTGACTATGTGGTCCGGAAGTTGCGCGCTTAGTCAGGGTAGCGGTCAACCTTAAGCACGAAGCTAACTTTACTAGTGAGGGGGTATAAATTTCCACGATGTATGAAAATGCTTCACGGCTCTTGGAGATTATAACAACTGCGAACGCGATCAAAGTTGAAACAAATAAGAAAGAACTCGAAGATGTCTTCAGACCTGCAACTTTCGAAAGAAGAGGCTGTGGCTTGGCTTGTTGAAGTAAGTCTATCTTGCACACTGAACTTTGTTGATACTGACATATTTCTTCGTCACAGAACAATACCTATAGTGCCAAAATGGATGTAGACGCATGGCTCGATAGGTTCTATACAGCAGATGCCACTATACGATACGCGAATAGTCCGGTGCGCTCCGTCACGGATGCTAGAGAAGTAGGCTACACAAACCAGAAACTGTTCCCTTTCACATGCTGATGGTATATTCAGATGTTCAAAGCTATATGGGCCAAATTCGATGGATTAGAACATGATGTTATCCATGTCGGTAAGCTATTATACATCACAGTTTGTCTGGCAAATTTCTCACTAGCCTAGATTATGTGAGCCCCTGCATATATCATCGCTGTGATGTTCGGTATCTTGTCAAGGGGGACGATCCCAAAACCCAAGAAATCAAAGTTCCAGCACTCGCTACGATGTTGATGAAGAGGGGCGAGGATGGCACTTTAAAGTCGTATAAGATGGAGGTCTTTATAGATCCCTCGCCTGTATTTGCACGCATTTCGGAGAATGGTCTCTGAAGTTTGAAATCTTTAGTATTACTAGGAACAGGCAGCCCGTCAGCATTGGTTGAGACTATCTGCATGTAGTCCAGCTCGTTGTGATTGTTGTCCAATTGCCATCAACACCCAGGCGCTGATAAGCCAATTCCCTCACAATCTTGTTATCAAAAGATAGGACAAACGAGCCATCATACCAATCAGCTGTCACAGACGCTGGAGCTTTCTCTCCAGGCTGTCCAACAACCCTATTCGTTGGTTCACGAATATCAAAAGGGGCTCCTAGCTTGGATTCAACACGAACCTGATATTGATGCCATCTCTTGTTACTACTCAGGGCATGCAAAATGGAGCACTTTGCAACCATGTTAAGAGGGTACGTGTTCTTTGGCAAAGGTTGATCAAGTGGTGTAAGACTCATGCTGAGAGAATTGTTAGACCCGAAGTCAACGGCATCTTCATTGAGATGCAATCGAGTTGTGTAAAGGGAACGATCACGTTCCGTGCTGTTACGGCCATGATGTACATAGAACAGCTCAGAACCCCAAGGTGTCCGATGCGTAACGTCCTGAGCGAAGGTTATCTGGCTTTTTTTACCAGGTGAAGCAACAATGCTACCATGGCCAGTTGAGTATATTGGAATCTCGTTATCAGGGTCCTGTGTAAGGATAGGATTGTTCGAAGATTTTCGGAATGGACCGAATGGAGATTTTGCAGTTGCGAAGCCAACGCCGTAATTGGATGCTTCGTAGTTATTGGCACTGTATAATAGAAGATAAACAGGTTTCGCATCAGATTTGCCAAGTCTCGTGATGATAGTGCTCCCTTCAGCCCAACGACGATCTTTCTTCGTGCCATTGAAATTTCGATAGTCGTCAACGTGAAAGTTTTCCCAATCTTGCGGATCAGCGCCGTAGGAAATAACAGTCTTCCAGCCGTCTTTGCGAGGTGGTGATCCAATCTCACCAGTGCCGTTGTAAGAGGTGATGTTCGAGGGAGGTTTTTGCGCATTCCGGGCATGGATGTTCCTTTGCGAGGCGATGATTTGTGGCATAGTTGATGCATTTGCATCGTCCCACCAAGCCCGTTCCATCTCTACCACGATGATGTTCGACTCTTCGATGTACTTGCCCAGCTTGCTATCCCAATTCCAATTTCGGTATGCATTTCTTGAGAGGTACATATAAATGCGCTTATCTGTGTCAAAGAAGATATTGACATCAATGGTGGGGATATATGTTCCCTTGGGCGCTTTCTGACCCTCTGCAAGACTCTGCGGTGGCAGCATCTGCTTCTTGTCCATGATGAGGTTGACATCGTGATAGTCGGGATCGAATGGGTAGTAGTCAATCGGCTTATCTTCAATTTCCCTAAACGGTCCCGCCGGATAACGAGCGACAGCCACGCCAATTTTAGACGGCTCTTCAAAGTCCGAGTATCGGAAGTAATCCTTTGTCAAGTCCTCCCGCAACCGGCCAGCATAGAAGAAAAAATACCACCCGGTTACCTTATTGTAGTATACCTCAGGGGCCCAGTACCAGTCACGGGCCCAACAGGCTTGGCCGCCTTTGATGCGTCTCATGTTGTCATCGTAGCACGCTTTTAGAACGCCACCGGGGTGTTTTTGCCAAGTCGACAGATCAGGACTGCTGTAAATGGCGAAGAGGCTCCCTGGATCTGCTCCCTCTGTAGAATAGGCGTAATATTGGTTTGTTTTGTAATCCCACAACACATAAGGATCGGCGCCGGGATAATTTGCTGCATTGTGAAACTGTGGCGGTTTTGAAGCCAGTGAGGATGCGCAAAGGCACGCGATGATACTGAAAAGCTTCATTTCTCCAGACGTATCATGATAAGATTATGCGGAGAAGAAACGGAGATTATAATTGACGACGGGTTTATAATCTATCTTGTTCTTGACGACATTGCCTTCCCCCTCTTTGCCATGTAACCTAAAACCTGCATCGGTCCGAGCAGGAGTGTCATCCTTGATCGACCTCGGTGTAATTCGAGGCGAGGCTTTATAATTATCTTCTGAAGCCGTCATCAGCCAGAAAACAACTTTCGTCTTACAGTTTGAACCGCGTAAAGGTCCCAAAGACTGAATTGAATTCAACGGCATGTCAATCAAACAGCGAAACTCTCATGCAACCCCGAAAATCAGGTTGATCGAGTGATGGTACAGCATTCCAGTATCAACATCATGACGTTTCATTCTCCACACAAGCTCAAATAGCCTAAATTCCGGGGCCGTGCCTAGTCCGCGCAGCCGGGTTACACTTCTCACACGAGTCGTGAATGGCATTCATAGTTGGAGGCTCACATATGTTCCGTGATGTTCTCGCCGTTGTCCTCGTGCAGATGGGTGAGGGCATGAACGAGACCTTCAGCTCTAACCTTTATTCTGAACCTCACAACTGGGGGGCTTCCCAATCTTATCCTTACGGCGGCGAGTCCAAGTATGTTAATTGTGGCGGTGGCCCAGTCTCTGACAGGTAAAACTCTAACTATCACATTCCGACAATCAGGTTTTTATGATGGTGAGAGTTCATGGTCCTTTTGTTGGGCTGGCCGGGGAACGAATTAGGTTCGGCCCAGACTAGGTTGCGAGATTTTGAAAAGCTGGAAGAGATTGGTGATGGTGTTGAGTGATACGGAAGAAGAGATATTCTGAGATCCCGGTTCCGATCTTATGGGTCTACTAAATCCGGGTAGATGTCCCGTCCGCTGAGTATATCTGAGACATCCCGTCCGATCGCGGACTACCATCTGAGGATCGATATCTATCTCAGCTATGAAGGCCAGCTAGCCATGAGCCTAACAACAATGATCCAGAATCTCTTGGACCTTGGCAGTCACGCAAAACCCAATCCTATTCTTAGCGCCGCAGCATGGCAATCCTTAATCTTCCGATAATAACTTTTCCCTCAGAATCTCTGGAATGACGGTTCAAATAGTTCCAACTCCTTCTAACGTAAGCCCATGGCTGAGGAGCTTGGGCCAGAGGTATACATCATCACCCGTCCAACCACTGCAGCTACAGCTCTACGGACCGGTCCGCATTCCAGCCTTTGTGTTATCAGCATGAAGAGAAATTGTGATCATCGTGGTTTCAACTGAACCCAAACGGGCCTGCAGGTCCAAGAAAACCAGGAGTCGAATGAAAACAAATAACGATATCAGTACCTTGCATGAACGAAGAACCAAGATATTCAAAAGTGAATTGGTGAATTGGTATGGATCTGCAAAACTATCACTCACTCTTTGTCCTGCATAGTCCGCATTTGGTATCGCGTCAGTTGACTTCCACAAAACCCTACATAGTTCCAAGACGAGGCTGAACGTTTTCGGACGGTAGCTGACGCGGTGCAGTTTGTGATTGGTGAGTAGGACATAAACTTTGCCAAGTGAGGACTTGTATAAGCCTCACAACCAACAGTTCTATGATGCTCAGTTACGGGCTACAGTCGGTTGATTTTACAGACGCAAGCTGGAGTGTGTAGAATTCGCTCATATCATGGTCATAGGGGTGCCAGTGAGAATTATAAAGTCAGGGGCCATATCGTTGCAAAACCAAGTGTTGCAAAGTAACTCAAGTGAAGATTGCAGTACCTTGAGAAATAAGCGCAACATGTCTTCGTTTCAGATTTTATCTCTTATCACAGCAGCTACTTCTGTCGTAGCACTCGCTGGGACACCAAATGTTTACGCAGGTAGCCGACGAGGTTCATGCTATGATGCTGCTGCAGCTGAAGACACCTGCTGCTACTCATCACCTGCGAGGATGGTTCAGACTCAAGTCTGGGATACACGACCAGTCACTGGACCTTTAGGTGAGTCTCTGTCCCCTGCACAAACAAGTTGACTGTATCTAACCTCTTCGTCAGATTCATGGACTGTTGGTGGACTTTGGCCAATCCACAACGACGGCTCCCTCCCTACCCACTGCGACACCAACCGCACATACACAAACATCACACAAATCCTCTACCATGCCGGCGCTGAAGATACTATTGACGAAATGAACAGACTCTGGGAGTCACCCGATGGAGATAACGACGAGCTCTGGCAAGATCAGTGGGTTAAGCATGGCACATGCTTCAGCACCCTGAGCCCGGAGTGCTTCAGCCACTATGAAGTCTCAGAGGAAGCAGCCCCGTACTTCCAAAAAGCCATGTATCTCCACAAGAGGCTGCCGACTTATGAGTGGCTTCGTGACGACGGCATTATCCCTTCATATTCCATGTTTTATCGGCTCTCTGATATCCAAGATACACTTGAGGATCATCATGGCTCACGCGTGTCACTTCGCTGTGCTGGACAAAGGATAAGGGAGATTGGGTATTACTTCAATGTCACAGGGACTTTGCAAGATGGTGTCTTCACTGACTCTGGTGCATTCGGCGACTTGGGCGACTGTCCAGAGCTGGTCTTGTATGAACCGAAGGGTGAGACCAAGAAAGCGATTTTTAACTTTGAGACGTTTCATCCGCATACCGCTGCAGATGTGGAGGACCTTTAGCTTACATAGTAGTTCATTAGTACACTTCACCTTAGCTTAGATAACATTTTAATAAATTCCGTATGAAGCCACATACTTTACTTGAAAATGCCAGCTAGTTAAAAGCCATTTCCCAGTTCTCGACTGTTCTTTTCAACGTTTTCTGCCAAAGAAATAGTCCAAGATTATGGGCAACTTCTTGCCTTCTTCGAGGCGTATTCCAATCAAATGTCCGGCTTCAATTGGTTCATTGTAGATATAAGTCAAGTATGGGGCACTTTATATCGGAATTACGGAAAGTGGGCAATAAATGCAACGAAGGCCAGCTCAGCTACTTAATCTTGAGGAAACATACCCCAGTCTACAATATCTCCGAAACATCACCATCGGATTATCGGCGGCCTGCTCAGCCAAGTATCTCCACCAGTTACAACCTCAAAACTTGCTGTTTCACCCAAACAACGCTGACAGACCCAGATAATATCCATGTATGTTTTAAGCCGCGTATGAATACGACAGCTGTCGTCGAGCATGAGCCACTTTATCCTTGCTAGAATTGGTCAAGGGGCGAGCGCTCCACCGAGAGAATCATGAATATCTCCACTATGACATGTTTCGAAAAGACGTCTTCAATTTCTTTGAAATAAAGGAGAGAAAGTGTCGTATATAAGGTCTCTGAATACCTCGGAGCTACAATCTTATCTTTACACAGCTAGACTATCAATCTCTTGTCGCCAAGATCTCATATCATTCATCATGTATCCTCTCACTACACTAGCCTCAGTCCTTGCTATTGCAGGCGCCGTTACTGCTACTCTTGAGCCTGCTCAGAGCAACACCAAGGGCAAATATCCCAAGAGCCCATCATGCTCTCGTGCGTGAATCTAATCTCCATCGATATCATATGCTAACACTACAGCCAGCATCCAAGACCTCCAACGCCATCCAGGCCGCTGAATGTGCCTACAACACCCGTGTCTCTGGCCAGCAGACATTTGCCATCTTCAAAGTCGACCACCAATATGATGCTAATAACGGTGCTCCCTACGGTACTTGCGAAGCTTACGAATGCGATGCTCCTACTTCTGAAGAGCTCACTGCTGATGCGGATTACTGGACTTTTTTCTGGAAGTAAGTGTTGTCAAACAAATGTTCATGATGCGGATCTGACGATTAGTAGCGACAATGGAGAGTCTTCTGGAGTTGGTACAACCTGTATCAAGGATCCTAACGACGGAACATGTGGCTGTGAGAACTCTGATGGTACTTTTGTTCATGGCGGAACGAACTGCAAATAGACTGTCAATCCCGAAGCAATATCAGATTGGTGGGTTGGTTAGAAGAAGGTGTTGTGCCAATAAAGAGATCAGAAACTTCTGAGTATATACGATTTCCAATACATACATGATACATGAGCCTTTTTCAGGGTCTTGCATAAATGGGAGGCCGCAAATGCATGCTGCCACTGCAAATGGTGGATAAACAAGGATGCAAAACTCGAGTCGTTTAATTGAGTAAAGTCGAGAAGCTAGTCCTGGATATGGCAAATTCTTTTATAAAAGGAGTAGAGCTTGCAAACCTTTAAATGTGATTCTTAAACACAACAAACTCTAGTACTTTACAGGATAGAGTCCTAGGGCCCTAATCTAATTAATATATATAGTATACTTAATATATTATAGTACCTTTTTTAATAACTTTATA